TTTACTCCACAGTTTCCTGACATCCTAAGTGATTTAAAAAAAAATTGGGTACATTAAGCTTCATTCTTTGTGCTGTAAAAATCTGTGAGTTTTGAAACCCATACATAGTGCCACGTATCCAGCATTACAGTTTCTTTTTTTTTTTTTTAATGCGTGACTCGGATGCATTACAGTTTCTTTGAGAATAGTTTTGCTGTCCTAAAAAATCCCCTGTCCTTCATTGATTTGACCTGACCCTAACCCCCAAACCCTCTGGCAACCATTGGTCTGTTTACCATCCCTATAGTTTTGTCTCATCCATAATGTTGTGTGATGGAATCATATAATATACAGCCTTTTCAGACGGGCTTCTTTCACTCGGCAATATGCACTTGAGATTCATTCATGTATTTTCATGGCTTGATAACTCATTCCTTTTTATTGCTGAATACTTTATTATATGGATGTTTCACAGTTTATTCATTCATCTATTGCAATACATCTTGGTTGCTTCCAGTTTTTGGTGATTATAAATAATGCTGCTGTAAACATTTCTGTTCAGGGTTTTTTGTGTACAAAAATTATTTTTTCTTGCCATATTTTTTTAGAGATGAGGTCTCCCTCTGTCACCCAGGCTGGAGTGTAGTGACGGGATCACAGCTCACTGCAGCCTTGAACTCCTGGGCTTAAGTAATCTTCCCTCCTCAGCCTCACAAATAGTTAGGACTATAAACATGTGACATCGCATATTTTATTTATTTTATTATTTTTTAAGAGATGGGGGTCTCTTTTGTCCAGATTGGTCTCAAACTCCTGGGCTCAAGCAGTCCTCCTGTCTCAGCCTTCTGAATAACTGGGACTATAGGTGTAAGCCATGTGCCCAGCAGATTTTCAAATCAGTAAATACCTAGGAGTGTGATGGCTAGATCCTATGGTAAGACTGTTTAACTTTGTAAGAAACTGCCAAACTGTCTTCCAAAGTGGCTGTATGGTTTTCCATGCCTACTATCAGTGAATGAGAGTCACTGCTCCTCTGCATCCTTGTCAGCAATTGGAATTGCCAGATGGTTTTCTTTTTTTTTTTTTTTTTTAGTTTCAGTCATTCTAACAGGTGTCCCGATACACCATTACTAACTCAAATACCTTAGCTCTCTAAGCTTTATTATAGCTCAATGAGAGTAAAGCAAGAGAGGAAGAATACAGCTGCGGATTTCATTTCCAGAAATAATTATTAAGTTAACTATGGTGTAGTAGAACTCTAGACACAACCTATTCTAGCTCTCCTTTCTTATTTTTTGGAGATAATGGAAATATTACCTCAAACATTCCAAAATAATGCTACAGACTTGAACTTGGATGTTATGTATTTAAACATATAAGGAACACAGGGGCCAGGCGTGGTGGCTCATGCCTGTAATCCCAGCACTGGGAGGCCATGGTGGGTGGATCACCTGAGGTCAGGAGTTTGAGACCAGCCTGGCCAACACGGCAAAACCCATCTCTACCAAAAATACAAAATTACCTGGGTGTGGTGGTGCACATCTGTAATCCCACCTACTCGGGAGGCTGAGGCTGGAGAATTGTTTGAACCTGGGAGGCAGAGGTTGCAGTGAGCCAAGCTTGAGCCACTACGCTCTAGCCTGGGCAACAGAGCAAGACCCTGTCTCAAAAAAGAAAGAAAAAAACATATAGGCACATAGGGATTCATGTACATTGTGTATTTAATATTGAATTGTATGATTGCACTGCCTATTGCTGGGTGGTATACCGAATGATGGTGACAAAGTGATGCGTAAATCAGACAAAGTCTAGTCCTCAATAAGCTTACAGTCTAACTGGGAAGAAGAAACACCTACAATAGACAGCAATCAAAACTGTGATGGGGAGTACAGGGAACTATGGAAACACCAATGTCAGGGCATCTGACCAGCCTAGGAGAGGTTAGAAAAGGCTTCGTGGAGGAAGTGACCTCTAAGATATGGCCTGTAGCAAGAGTTGGTGAACTGCAGCCTATGGGCCAAATCCAACCTGCCATCTGCTTTGGTACAGCTCATGAACTAAGAATGATTTTATGCATTTTTAAATGTTTGAAGAGATTCAAGAGAATAATGTTTTGTGATATGTGAAAATTGTATTATATTCAAATTTCAGTGTCTATAAATTACATTTCCCTGTAATGTAGTCACACTCACAGCTGCTTTTGTACTATAGCAGCAAAGTCGAACAGTTGCAAGAGACTGTATAACTGTAAAGCCCAGGGTATTTACTCTGTGGCCCTTTACAGAAAAAGTTTGCTGATCCCTGGCACAGGATGGGTAGGAGTTAACCTAATAAAGCAGAGTGAGGAAGAGGGAAATTGCTTTCTGATGGGGTCTTTTTATAGCTGTAGTAACCTTAATATACTTAGAGCGTGGCATCAAGGAGGTAGGGGCTGAAGGACTGTGGTGAGTATTGGGGCTGGAGCCTGGGAAGAGCCTTGGCAACCATATGTAGGGATTTGGGCTTATCCAGTATGAAGCCTTTAAAAGATTTAAAGTGATGTGATCTGATTTCCTTTTTTTTTTTTTTTGAGATGGAGTCTCACTCTGTTGTCTTTGCTAGAGTACAATGGTGTGATCTCGGCTCACTGCAACCTACGCCTCCCAGGTTCAAACAATTCTCCTGCCTCAGCCTCCTGAGTAACGGATTACAGGTGCCCGCCTCCACACCTGACTAATTTTTGTATTTTTAGTAGAGATGTGGGGGTTTCACTATATTGGCCAGGCTGGTCTCCAACTCCTGACCTCATGATCTGCCCGCCTTGGCTTCCCAAAATGCTGGAATTACAGGTGTGAGCCACTGCACCCAGCCCTGATTTACTTAAAAAAAAAATCTTCTGGCCACAGTGTAGAGATTGAGTTGGAGAGGGTGGGGTGAGAAAAGGGAAACTAGTTGAGATTTTATGGTCATTCGGGGAGAAATTGGTAACAGACTAGCACAGTGACATTGGGGATAGGAATATATTGATTTGAAAGGCAGTTAGGAATCAAAATTGAAAGAGTTTGGTGTCTTAGTTTAGCCTTAGTCTATAGGCTGTTATAACAAAATACCATAGAGTGGTAGTTTATAAATAACAGAGATTTGGCTGGGCATGGTGGCTCACACCTGTAATCCCAACAGTTTGAGAGGCTGACGTGGGAGGATCACTTGAGCCCAAGAGGTCACGACCAGCCTGGGAAACATAGCAAAACTCCAGATCTACAAAAAAAAAAAAAAAAAAGTTAGCTGGGCATGGTGGCATGTGCCTATAATCCCAGCTACCCAAGAGGCCGAGGTGGGAGCATTGCATGAGCCCTGGAGGTCGAGGCTACGGTGAGCCATGATCAGGCTGTACTCCAGCCTGGAGACCCTGTCTCAAAAAGAAAAAGAGAAAAGGAAAAGAATTAAAAAGAATGTAGAAAAAAAAAATCCACAAAACAAAAGCAGAGATTTATTTTTCACAGTTTTAGAGGCTGAGAAGTCCAAGATCAAGGTGCTGGCCGATTCAGTGTCTGGTGAGGGCCTGCTTTCTGGCTTAGTGGCAGCTGTCTTTTCACTGTGTTCTCACATAGCAAAAAAAGGAACTCTGGTCTACTCAGCCCTTATAAGGGCACTAATCCCAATCATGAAGGCTCCACCCTTGTGACCTAAACACCTCATATCTCACAAATGCCACACCTCCTAGTACGTTATCTTGGGGGTTAGGATTTCAACATATGACTTTGGGCAGGGGTATAAATATTCAGTCTATAGGATTCAGTGATTGGAGGCATTGAAGTGTGATTATTTTCATGTTTCAAATGATTGTGCTTTCTTTTTTCAAAAGTTTGTTTTTCTGGTTCATGTGAATGCATGGTTAAGAAATCCATGTTTAGTAATAGTCTTTAGAGCAAAATTCTTGAGTGGTGTTTCATTCCTCCAGAGCTCCTTCCCGTAACTTGGGTATTAAAATCACATCTCCCTGTGACCTCTTCATGTTGTTCCCTGTTGACAAGAGATCTGACTTTTAAAGAGCAGAGAAGCTATTGGCAGATTAATTTTCCTTTCCAGGTTTATCTTGGTTTAACGACTTTCCCAAAATATTTTGGATTGGGCCCTTGGGCTCTTTGGTTTTCAAGACAATTTGTTAACAATGACAAGCGCTTCTCATTTTCTAGAGCACTTAGACTATTTCTGGTTTTAATCTCTGACCCATGCCATTCTCCTCTTTGGAATGGAAGTCACTGTATTATGTTTTATACTATGTTGTGTAGCTTTTAAAGTGCCTATTCACATGTCAACTCAGTTAATCCTACAGTAAACCTGTGAAGAAGGCAGGACTAGTCAAATTGCTGAGATTGAGAAAGGTTGGATGGCTTTTCCAAAGTCAGAAGGTCAATAAATAGTAAAGCAGGTGATAAAACTTAGGTTTTTCAGATTTCCTAGTTTTATTCTTTCTATAATGTATCTTGTCTCCAAGAAAAGGGAGTTAGACTAGCTGTAATAGTTACATTTTCAGCAGTAAAGATGAAATACTTTTTTCTCCTGTGTATGATCTGTGGGACTTTATCCAGACATCAGCATAGTCTTTTCCAAGCAATATGTGGACTACCAATAATTCCTAGACTACAGTTTGTGAAGCTGTTGTCTGTATATTGAAGCATATATATGTATATTTTATTTTAATTAATGAATTACTTAATTTTTGAGATGGAGTTTCGCTGTTGTTGCCTAGGCTGGAGTGCAATTTGCATGATCTCGGCTTACCATAACCTCCGTCTTCCAGGTTCAAGCGATTTTTCCAGCCTCAGCCTCCCAAGTAGCTGGGATTAGAGACGTGAGCTACCACACCCAGCTAATTTTGTATTTTTAGTAGAGACGGAGTTTCTCCATGTTGGTCAGGCTGGTCTCAAACTCCCGACCTCAGGTGATCCATCTGCCTCAGCTTCCTAAAGTGCTGGAATTACAGGCCTGAGTCACCATGCCTATGTATATATTTTTTAATTCCTTCTCCTTCCCTTTAGGTGGTTCTAACTTTGATGGTTTGAGGCCAGATGGGAAGGGACTGCCTATGGACCAAAACCCCAGTGATCAAGATAAACCAGAAAGCTTGCAACCAAGGTAACGCAATTCTCCCTTCATTTGTCTTTTGTAGGACTCAGGTTCTCCTCACAGTACTGAGACCATTACTGGGCATAATGTAAGTTGTTCCAGGGTGGCTGGCCTAGGAAATGTTCTTATTTATTTATTAAGATGGGGTTTCACCATGATGGCCAGGCTGGTCTTGAATTCCTGACCGCAGGTGATCCACCCACCTCAGCCTCCCAGAGTGCTAGGATTACAGGTGTGAGCCACTGCGCCCAGCCGGAAATGTTCTTAATAATACCTGACATTTATTTGCACTTACTGCCAGGCACCCTGCTCTTATTTGGACTATCTTATTTTAGCCTAAGAGGTAAGTACTTTTTTCTGTTTTACAATTAAGGAAACTCAGATGATGAGAAGTTATATAACTCACCCAAGGTCCCAGAATTAGCACGTGGCCAACCTAGGATTTGAAACTAGCAGTCCAACCCTCCCTTGAAAATGTAGATTAGAAATGTTTGATTTCACTCTTTCATTCTTTTAGGCATTTTTTCCTTTTTTATTTATTCTTTTCCTACCCACACCTGAGGTGTTATAAAATATCTGAAGTCTGTACTCCAGTGCCCGCTACTGAACGTCTTCAGAATCTCTTTGGTGAAGATAAAACGCTTGTGTCAGTATTTTAGTTATGACTGTAAATACAGTATAACGCAAATAATAATGAAATATAAATTTTTATTGGCTTCCTTTTATTTTGGATCATTCCTATGGAGTAGATGTATATAATAGAATGATCAAGTCAAAGGATCTATAGAGGGTTTTATAGTTTTTTCTCTTTTTTTTTTTTTGAGACAGAGTCTCACTTTGTTACCCCATCACTACAGCCTGCGCCTCCTGGGTACAAGTGGTTCTCCTGCCTCAGCCTCCCGAGCACCTGGGATTATAAGCATGCACCATCACACCCGGCTCATTTTTGTATTTTTGGTAGAAATGGGATTTCGCCACGTTGGCCAAGCTGGTCTCGAACTCCCAGCCTCAAGTGATCCACCTGCTTCAACCTCCCAAAGTGCTGGGATTACAGGCGTGAGCCACTGCTCCCGCCTGTCAATTTCATGTTCTGATCCCATATTTTGCTACCATACATGTGGGTGATGACACTGGCTTTCATTTTTCTCATTTAGAACTGAGGGGATTGAATTATCTTTAAGATGCCCCTCTGGTCTGAAATTCTGTGACTCTATTATCAGGAAAGTCTCCAGACCAATATAGTATATAATCAACAAAATATAAATTTACCTAATTCCACAAAGAAATAGTGTTATTTTAGTAAATAAATTTTACTTTGGCCTCCTTTAGTCTTCTGTGACTTAGATGGGATCTTTTAGCTTTGTATTCATTCATTTTGCCATGGGGACTCATCCACATATGAAAAAAATATTTTTGTTTTTCCAGACAGAATAAATCCAAGTCCCAAATTACTGACATGGTTCGGTCCTCCACTATCACAGTCTCAGACAAGGCTCATATTTTATCCATGCAGAAGTTTGGACTGCGAGATACAATTGTGAAATCACATCTACTACAGAAAGAAGAGGATTATACCTACATCCAGAACTTCAGGTAGCTAACTGGGTCCTAGGATGTTTTCAGAACAGAATGATCTTTTTATTTATTTATTTTTTTGAGATGGAGTCTTGCTCTGTTGCCCAAGCTGAAGTGCAGTGGTGCAATCTCTGCTCACTGCAACCTCTGCCTTCAGGGTTCAAGTGATTCCCCTACCTCAGCCTCCCAAGTAGTTGGGATTACAGGCGTGCACCACCATGCCTGGCTGATTTTTGTATTTTTAGCAGAGACAGTATTTTGCCATGTTGGCCAGGCTGGTCTCAACCTCCTGACCTCAGGTGATCTGCCTGCCTCAGCCTCCCAAAGTTCTGGGATTACAGGCATGAGCCACCATGCCTGGCCCCAGAATGATCATTTGGCTCTCTGGAATTTTAGCACTTCCTCCTATACCTGGATTTGGAGGCATACTCTTCTATAGAATCTCTCCCCTGGTTTTGAAATGAGTGATTCTATGCACTGTTTACTAACAGGCATTTATTCTGTGCTCTTTCTAGGTGGGCACTGTGGTAGGTGTGGTATAGTAGGAATGACATGACATGCAGTTAGTTACGACTTGCAGTTAGTTACAGAAATATTTGCAGAGACAAATTGGTACAGAAGAAGGAGCGCCATCCTGATTCTTTCTTTTTTTAAATGTTTTATCTTTTTGAGACAAGGTCTCGCTTTATTGCCCAGGGTGGAGTGCGGTGATGCAATCACAGCTCACTGCAGCCTCAGCCTCCCAGGCTCAAGTAACCCTCCCACCTCAGCTGCTGGAGTAGCTGGTAATACACATGGGTATACCATTACGCCTAGCTAATTTTTTCAGTTTGTAGAGACAGTGTCTCACTATGTTGCCCACGAAGATCTCAAGCTCCTGGGCTTGAACAGTCCTCCTGCCTTGGCCTCCCAAAATGTTGAGATTATAAGTGTGAGCCACCACACCCGGCCCTCCAAGGTTCTGTACTCCCTTTGTCATTCTGGGCCTTTGAAGAGAGTCATTTAGAGTGAAATTAGTAAAACGAAGTTAGCTGGTGTTTGGTAATCTTTTTAGGCAAGATTACTAAAAGTTAAATAAATAAAGGTTGTGGGATTCTGCTAGATCTTTCAGAGTCATTGCATTGGGACTATAGATAAAATAACATTGTTTCTAGCGATATAAACTGTGAATTATGGTGAAGAAATAGCCTTTTGAACACTGTTGTTGTTTTCTTGCCAAAAGTAATTACCAAAGCACTTTTCAGTTTTTCATTTCATTAGTATATACAGGGCAAAGAATTATGCAGATAATGACTGGATAATGGCCATTTAAAGAAAGTAGGAATATTCAGAGTAGGCCTATACTATTGAAATTGTTCTCACAAAAGCAACAGATACCATAACAGACCGCAAGTCACCCCTTGGTGCTGTAGTCCTGATCTAGAAATGATATTTTTTATGTCTTAAAATGCCACTCCGCAGAGACTAAAACCAGCATAAATCAGCATAAAATGCTTTCTCCTGTAATCTCCCTAGTGATTTTCAGTCACTACTTCTTTCTCTTTGGTGCCAGGTTTTTTGTGGGAACATACAATGTAAATGGACAGTCCCCCAAAGAATGCCTCCGGCCCTGGCTGAGCGAAGGTATTGAGGCCCCAGATGTCTATTGTGTAGGGTGAGTGCTTCTCTTCTCGTCCTGTCTTCATCTTCAAGCACACAGAACTGTGGTTGAGGATGGGTCTTCACAGCAGGTGAAGGATTTGAAAAATGATCAGGTGCTTATAACAACTGCTTCCCTGTTTGATGTTCTTCCTCATGGCAAGCAAATGTCTGCCACTGTTAAAGTGAAGTGCTTGGTATTTAAGTGCTAATATTTAATTTTTAGTGTAATCTTCTGTTAAAATACTGAATTGCATCCTGAACTCAGTGCATCCTGAATTGAACTTCATTGCTTAGACATTCAATCCTTTTTTGGTTACAAAGCAAAAATGTCTTTTGCCAGAGAAGGGAGGTTACCTGAAGAAAGTTCCATCAGTTAGTCTTTTTTTTTTTTTAACCTTCTCATTACTATACTGGGCCTTACTGGTGGGGAGGGGCAGCAAACCTTGTATAGTATATTGAAAAGAACTAGAATTGGGCCAGGCGCGGTGGCTCATGCCTGTAATCCCAGCACTTTGGGAGGCCGAGGTGGGTGGATCACGAGGTCAAGAAATCGAGACCATCCTGGTCAACATGGTGAAACCCCGTCTCTACTAAAAACATAAAAAAATGAGCTGGGCATGGTGGCGTGTGCCTGTAATCCCAGCTACTCGGGAGGCCGAGGCAGGAGAATTGCCTGAACCCAGGAGGTGAAGGTTGCGGTGAGCCGAGATTGTGCCATTGCACTCCAGCCTGGGTAACAAGAGCAAAACTCCCATCTCAAAAAAAAAAAAGAATTTGAATTTAGAATTTATATAGACCTAGGTTTGAATACCAGTTTGCTACTTGGTGCTTGTGTGAACTAGGGACTGTAGATGTAAAATAGTGACGTTTCGAACTACTTCTTAGGCTGGTCATGAAAAGGAATGGGGTTTTGTTTGCAAAAGCACCTGGAAAGTTCCTTGGCATTTAGTTCCTTGGCTCTAAGTGTTTATTTTTTCCTCCTGAGAGTCCTGAAATTTAGCTAGAAATATGCACCTAAAGCAATCCGAGAATGTGTCATTTGCACATTACTTTTCTTTACTATCTAACTGGCTGCTTCTCCAAATAGGTTCCAGGAACTTGATCTGAGTAAGGAAGCATTTTTCTTTCATGATACCCCAAAGGAGGAAGAGTGGTTTAAAGCTGTGTCAGAGGGTCTTCATCCAGATGCCAAATATGCAAAGGTAAGAGAGGAATCAGGAACCTTTTCATTTTATGTTGCCACGCAGGGAAATTCCAAGATCATTTTTCACCTTTTCCATGACCTTTATCTTTTTTTTTTTTTTTTTTTTTTTGAGATGGAGTCTTGCTCTGTTGCCAGGCTGGAGTGCAGTAGTGGGACCTCGGCTCATTGCAACCTCTGCCTCCTGGGTTCAAGTGATTCCCCAGCCTTAGCCTCCCGAGTAGCTGGGATTACATGTGCACACCACCATGCATTGCTAACTTTTTGTATTTTAGTAGAGATGGGGTTTCACCACATTGGCCAGGATGGCCTCGATCCCCTGACCTCCTAATCCACCCGCCTCAGCCTCCCAAAATGCTGGGATTACAGGTGTGAACCACCGTGCCTAGCCCATGACCTTTATCTTAAGCCAATCTTAATTATCCCAAAATTTTCATTTCCAGATCTTCCAGAAGGGGTGCCTCTGGGTGGGAAAGATGCAGGGCGTTGGCACTCGTAGGTTAGCACGTAGCATGCTTGGTGAGTTGAACAGATGATTACCTGTGTTCTAGTGTGGAGAAGGAGAGATGTTAATACTCTCAGCCAGCTTCCAGACCACTTTTTCTTTGGGGTATTTATTCCTGTTTGCAAGTTCTATTTAATGCCATGTCTCTCATTTCCAGGTGAAGCTCATCCGACTGGTTGGGATTATGCTGCTGTTATATGTCAAACGGGAGCATGCAGCATATATTTCAGAAGTGGAAGCTGAGACTGTGGGGACAGGAATCATGGGGAGGATGGTGAGTCCTTGATTGATATGTTTGGCACATTGAGGATCTTAACTCCTGAGGTATTGACTGCTTCTGATGACACAGTGACTACACGTGTCCCAGTTTGAAGGTGCCAGTATTCCAAGATGAATCACATCCTCAAGCAGGGCTCAGTTGAGCAAACTATTTAGAAACTGCATTTTAGTGAACTGCCTGCTTATTCAACCAACTAGCCCCTATCCTTGTATTCGCCAACACTAGAGCCTCCAATTGATCCTCCCATTTCACCCATGAAGCAGAAACTATGGTGGGTCATCCAGGAAAACAAAGAATGCTGATAGTAGGTTTGCAGTTTTCTCTTCTTGAGGCCATTAAAGTTCTGTTTTTAGGGTCTTCTGTAAGAGCTTAGCTTTGTGTGGCGAAGGGCACATATGGTTTGCCTGTGATTTAGTGTAAAGAACACTGGATTGAGGGAGCTAAATTTTGGGGCTGGCGCGGTGGCTCACAACTGTAATCCCAGCACTTTGGGAGGCTGAGGTGGGTGGATCACTTGGGGCCAGGAGTTCAAGAGAGCTAGGTTTTGGACTCAGCTTTGCCGCTGACTGGCTAGGCATTCTGCCTTCTTGTTTTTTTTTTTTTTTTAAATCTGTAAAATATAGATAATAAGCTCACAGGATTATTGTAAAGATTAAGACAAAACATTTTGAAAGTTTGTAGGTTTAAATGACGACACAGTTAAGTTTGAATTGGATTTCTTTGGGGATCCTTTCCACAGGGCAACAAGGGAGGTGTGGCGATCAGGTTCCAGTTCCACAACACTAGCATCTGCGTTGTAAATTCTCACTTGGCAGCCCACACTGAAGAGAATGCGAGGAGGAACCAGGACTATAAGGACATTTGTTCTCGAATGCAGTTTTATCAGCTTGACCCAAGCCTTCCACCTCTTACCATCAGCAAGCACGAGTGAGTCTGGGCTTCCACCCCCTTACCATTTACTATGAATGCATAGAGTTATGGACTCTGTCTTTTGATGGGGAGATGCCTGGTGGTAGTTTCCCATTGCTGCAATGGTGGCAAGTGCCACCTCTTGGTTATACATGGATTATATCTCTTGAAAATTTTTACTTTCCTAACTTACCATCTGGCAGATCTCTAGAGCCTTTCTCTTTTTTTATTTTTAAATTTTTATTTGCATGTCATCCTTGCTCAGGGGCCATGCTAATCGTCTCTGTATCATTTCAATTTTAGTATATGTGCTGCTGAAGCAAGCACACTCCAGAGTCTTTCTCAAGCATTATGTGTCTTTGGGAAGGTATAAAGTTTATTTATTTACTTTTTTTTTTTGAGACGGAGTCTCGCTCTGTCACTAGGCTGGAGTGCAGTGGTGCTATCTTGCCTCATTGTAACCTCTACCTCCTGGGTTCAAGTGATTCTCCTGCATTAGCCTCCCGAGTAGCTGGGACTACAGGTGCGTGCCACCATGCTGGGCTAGTTTTTGTATTTTTAGTAGAGACGAGGTTTCACCATGTTGGCCAGGCTGGTTTCGAACTCCTGACCTCAGGTGATCCATCTGCCTCGTCCTCCCAAAGTGCTAGGATTACAGGCATGAGCCACTGCATCTGACCAAGATTTATTTTATTTTTTCAATATTTAATTTATCAATATGTATGAGAGTCCTTGGATGCTGTAGTATAGCAGCTAGAAGTAGTTAAGAAGAGAGTGAGGCTGGGTGTAGTGGTTCATGCGTGTTATCCCAGGACTTTAGGAGGCTGAGGAGGGGGATTGCTAGAGCCCAGGAGTTCAAGAATAGCCCGGGCAACATAGTGTCTCTGCAAAAAATTTAAAAAATTAGCTGGTATGTTGCTGCATGTCTGTACTCAGGAAGCTGAGGCAGGAAGATAACAAAAAGGGAAGGGGAAGAGAAAGGCAAGGAGAGGAGAAAGGAAAAACGAAAGGAAGGGAAGGAGAAAGGAGAGGGAAAAGTTTATTTTGAGCAGGGAATATGACAAAACGTCAGATCACAGCTATATTGTAGTCTGAGTTCTGCTTAAGATTTATCTTTTTTATTTTTTTTAAGATTTATTTTAATTTTGGTCTGTCTACATCACACATTATGAAGAAAACCAAAGAATGAGCATATCAAACCCAGTTTTTAGAAGTATGTTTTAGGATTTTATATGTCTGCTTTTTTTTTTTTTTGAGATGGAGTTTTGCTCTTGTTGCCCAGGCTGGAGTGCAATGGCACGATCTTGGCTCACTGCATCCTCCGCCTCCCAGGTCCAAGCGATTCTCCTGCCTTAGCCTCCAGAGTAGCTGGAGCTACAGGTACACACCATCACACCTGGCTAATTTTTGTATTTTTAGTAGAGACAGGATTTCACCACATTAGCCAGGCTGGTCTTGCACTTCTGACCTCAGGAGATCCACCTGCCTTGGCTTCCCAAAGTTCTGGGATTACAGGTGTGAGCCACCATGCCTGGCTCTTTTTTTGTTTTTCTTTTTCTTTTTTTTTTTTGAGACGGAGTTTTGCTCTTGTTACCCAGGCTGGAGTGCAATGGCGCGATCTCAGCTCACCGCAATCTCCGTCTCCTGGGTTCAAGCAATTCTCCTGCCTTAGACTCCCGAGTAGCTGGTACTACAGGTACACACCACCATGCCCAGCTAATTTTTGTATTTTTAGTAGAGATGGGGTTTCACCATGTTGACCAGAATGGTCTCGATCTCTTGACCTTGTGATCCACCCGTCTTGGCCTCCCAAAGTGCTGGATTATAGGCGTGAGCCACCGTGCCCGGCCTCTTTTTTTCTTTTTAATTCAACTTTACAAAGCTATAGTTGCAGCTGCTGAGAGCATCTTGTGCTAATTTTTGTTTCTTCTCCTTATTTTATCTCATTTATTTCTAAAACTTCCTATTTGTCTAAAGTCAAAGCCTTAGAATTTTAGACTTTAGGGTAACAGTCGAAGTGTATCCCACTTCTTTTATAAAGAGGTAGAAGCCACTGGGGCCATGACGTCTGCCAAGGAGTAAACAGAGTTATGCTTCTTGTCCTGCCTGCTGAAGTGGAACTGTCTGGAGCTTTTTAGTGTTCTGGAAGCTGACAGGCTGGTTTTTCTTCTCCAGGGAACCTAGCAGGGAGTGTCTTGCAGCCAAGCTCTTCTATTCTGGTGAACCTGCAGCATCCTAGTTTGTGAGGTCGCAGCTTGTGTGTCAGTTTGTCTGCTTTTAGTTTGTGGATGCATTAATTTTGCTGTGTGTGTACTGCTGTGCAGATTCTCTAATGACATGGTTGTTGGCTTCAGATACAACAGTATTAGACTTAATGAATTTTACATTGTCATCAGGGAGCCTTCAGTTAGCTTTTTCCCAAAGCAGCAGGAGGAATAAAACACCTTCTACACTCTACCCAATGGCACAAAAAGAGCCAACCGATGATATGGTAGAGATTAAATCCAGGCTCCACTATAAAGTTTGAACTTTGTTTTCCTTTTTTTTTTAAAAGATGGGGTTTCACTATCTTGGCCAGGTCGGTCTTGAACTCCTGACCCTGTGTTCCACCTGCCTTGGCCTCCCAAAGTGCTGGGATTACAGGTGTCAGCCTCATACCCGGCCTTGAACTTTGTTTCAGAGGAACTCTGCTTTAGAAACAAAGGCTGAAAGTGTGTTTTGTGGACTGCAGTATACACAGAGGCAGAGGTGGCATTGTGGCATCATCTGGTTTAGGGTCCCTGGGTGATTGGCATGACTCTCAATTCTTGATCTTTTTTCCTTCTTCCCAAGAATGGGGTAAATTACTATTTTTTAGATCTTATCAGACTATCTTTCCAACCTACAGAAATAAAATAGTTAAGGAGAACACAAGGCTATTTATAAGGAGCTTAGACCAAGATACAATTATCACAAGCAAGCATCACATTAGAGTATTAAATGGGATGGCAAGAGAAAAAAAATTCCTGAACAGTTGAGCCATTTACCCACTCACCTCCCAAGAGGCTGAACCTCAGGGGCCTTTCATTAGAAGCACCCTGGGTAGGTTGGATTAAAGTTCCTCCTAAACCCTGTTACCTTTGTGCTCTGCCCTCACAGTGTGATCTTGTGGCTGGGGGACCTCAACTACAGGATAGAAAACATGGATGTGGAAAAAGTGAAAAAGCTCATCGAAGAGAAGGACTTTCAAACCCTGTATGAATATGATCAGGTACAGATGGCCAAATGTGCCCTCTTCCAGCAGCTGTCCTCCACTGTGAGGGCACGGAAAAGCCTGGCTTCCAAACACAGCGTCTACTTCCTTGGTTTGAGAGGTTTCTCTGAGTTCCTGATGTTGTCCAGTTATTTCTTCATTTCATCTGCATTCCCTTTTCCATAATTGTCTCCCCATTGGTTCTTTCCTGAAGCACATTTTCTCCTTTGGAAGCAAGAGTGTGTTCTCTCTCTCACTTTCTCATTCATTCATTCAAGAGGTCTGAAGTTGGGGCTAAAAGAGTACCAACTTTCTATAAAGAAAGGACTTGGTATATTTAAGATGATGTAATAATTGTTTTTAGTATGAGCCTTCTTCCCCTCTGTGCTTCTCCTTACCAGACTTCTCCATTGTGAGCGACAGCTCTTCCTACATGGCTTTCCTCACTTCCTACAGGAATCAGTAACCTGCTGTTCTCCATCACTGCTTGACAGAGCATTTCCCTTGCAGAGCACTCGCTGTTTCACAGTACAAGAGAATCTGTTCCTCTGTGACTTTGTTCTGGCTACTCCTCTCAGTAGATTTCAGACTTGTTTAGGTGGTCAGGTTGTTTAGAATGTTAAACTTTCTTCTTTTTTTGTTCTATATCCTCCCTTTTAAAACTTTTGTATTGTCGTTAATCTAAATATTTCTATTATATTTTTTTCTCCAGTGCAGGTTAACTAAAGAGAAGGAATCTCAACTTATTTATGTCTATTTTTTTTATCTCCTCTGTGTTCTGGTCTGAGGCATTCTAACTTCCCTTGTAGTTTAATACCCATCTCTACTTGCCTTCTTTTCTGGTCTTTCCTGAGCAATAGTACCCATTTTGTGTGTTATCTGCCTACTACATTGTTTTAAGGTCTGTACATTCATACCTACATTTTAACTATTTTCTGTTGCTTTTGAATAGGAATTTGGCAAGTGGTGTCTACTAAATAGCTGACCATATGCAATGTTAGAGGTGACAGTTCTTCACTACTCCATGCAGTGCCACGCTTGGTGCTTCAGGGAGAGGGAAGAGTACCTGTGTTTTGTTTTGTTTTTTGAGACAGAGTCTCCCTCTATTGCTCAGGCTGGAGTGCAGTGGTGCAATCTCGGCTTACTGCAACCCTCCGCCTTCTTGGTTCAAGCGATTTTCCTGCCTCAGCTTCCTGAATAGTGGGGACTACAGGTGTGCGCAACCATGCCAGACCAGGCTAGTTTTTTTTGTATTTTTACTAGAGATGGGGTTCTCCATATTGGCCAGGCTTGTCTCAAACTCCTGACCTCATGATCCACCCACCTCGGCCTCCCAACATGCTGGGATTACAGGCATGAGCCACCGTGCCCGGCCAGCACCTGTAGTTTTTATGTTGCTGAGAGTGTGATCTGGAAGGCACTCCTAAAATTCATAGGAAGGATGCTATCTGTTATAGTGTGTCAGGCACTCTTTAGGTTGACAGCGAATCTTTCTAACAACCCTATGAGGTAGATTCTATTATAAATCCAAAATTTGCAGCTGCAGCAACCAAGGCACAGAGCTTTCCCCAGTTCACATAACTAATTTGACAGCGCAGTTCTATCTTTCTGTATATTTGGAGCATCTGTGCTACATAGATGAAGTGTTTGATACCTGGAAGAGAAAAACTATTAGTTTGTTAAGTGTAAGTGATACCTAATCCTCTTAAAGATATCTCAGTAAGTTGATAATCAGGCCCTTTGGGTGTAGCTATGCTGTTACGAAGGAGCCTTAGCCAGGCATGATGGCTTGCACATGCAATCCCATCACTTTGGGAGGCCAAGGCAGGAGGATCACTTGAGGCCAAAAGTTTGAGACAAGCCTAGGCAGCCTAGTGAGACCCTGTCTCTAAAAAGTTTTTAAATATAGCTGTGTGGTGGTGCACACCTGCTGTCCCAGCTACTTGGAACGCTGAGGTGGGAGGATTACTTGAGCCCAGGAGATGGTGGCTGTAGTGAGCTGTGGTCACACCATGGCACTCCAGCCTGGGTGACAGAGTAAGACCCTGTCTTTAAAAAATAAAAAACATTAAAAACAACTAAAAAATAAAAACTGTATACAGAAAAGAAATGGTCAGCTTGTTCACTTTCCTAGGAGTTAGCTAACTTAAGATATTATAGAAGCTGGGCATGGTGGCTCACGCCTGTAATCCCTGCACTTTGGGAGGCCAAGGCAGGCAGATTACTTGAGATCAGGAGTTTGAGACCAGCTTGGCCAACATGATGAAACCCCGTCCCTACTAAAAATACAAAAAAGTTAGTTGGGCATGGTGGCACGTACCTGTAATCCCAGCTACTCAGGAGGCTAAGGCAGGAGAATTGCTTGAACCCGGGAGGCGGAGGTTGCAGTGAGCTGAGATTGCACCACTGTACTCCAGCCTGGGCAACGAGAGCAAAACTCTGTCTCAAAAAAAAAAAAAAAAAAAAAAAGATCTTATAGAATAATTTTTTTGGGGGGCTTTTTCCTTTCAGTTTGAATTCTAGACTGATATTCTTTTCTCCACTAATTCAAAGTTTGACCTTTTTATTGTGAGATTTGTTTTTTCTCCCATCATTTTATATAGCTGAAAATTCAGGTGGACAAAAAGACTGTCTTTGAAGGCTTCACAGAGGGTGAGCTCACATTCCAGCCTACTTATAAATATGATACGGGCTCTGACGACTGGGATACCAGGTAGGTTAGAGGTTTCTTCAAATGATTGAGCAAATGGAAACCCAGAAATTCTGGGAAGCACTTGCCCTTTTGGACCTAAGGAAGAATATATGCTTCCTGTGACTTTTCCACATGTTTTGCACTCTGGTCAGACATTTTGTCTCAGTATTTGCTCGTGAAGCAGCCTGCTTTCCCATGTATTTACTTTGTGACTGCCTTTGCCTTTGTTCCATAATAATTTTTAATACTGGTTTACTTTTCAGCTGTGCCTAGGATGAGATGATTCCAACTAACTTAGCTGGTACTTGGTCATTACATAGTAGTTAATATTTTTGTTTGTTTGTTTTGAGACAGTCTTGCTCTACTGCCTAGGCTGGAGTGCAGTGGCTGGATCTTGGCTCACTGCAACCTCTGCCTCCCGAGTTCAAGCAATTCTCCTGCTTCATCCTCCTGAGTAGCTGGGATTACAGGTGTGTGCCACCATGCCCAGCTAATTTTTGTATTTTTGTAGAGACAGGGTTTCGCCATGTTGGCCAAGCTGGTCTTGAACGCCTGGCCTCAAGTGATCCGTCCACCTCAGCCTCCCAAAGTCAGTAGTTAATATTTTTTATTACTGCTTACCATGTGCCATGTACTTTTGATGCACGTTATTTTCTTATTTAATCCTTAAGACCCTGTTGAAGTAGGTATGATTTACCTCATTTTATGAGATTGGAAACTGAAGCATAGAAAAATTAAAGAGACCCCAGGTAGACAAGGGATACAGGGAGTATTTTAACCCAGGCAGTGGGAAATTCAGAGGCTGTCTCTTTACTAGCGTCTTTTTTTTTTTTTAGGCGGAGTCTCACTTTGTTGCCAGGCTAGAGTACAATGGCGTAATCTTGGCTCACTGCAACCTCTGCCTCCTGGGTTCAAGTGATTCTCCTGCCTCAGCCTCCTGAATAACTGGGACTACAGGTGCATACCACCACATGCAGCTAATTTTTGTATTTTTAATAGAGATGGGGTTTCACCATGTTGGCCAGGATGGTCTCAATCTCTTGACCTCCTGATCCACCTGCCTTGGCCTCCCAAAGTGCTGGGATTACAGGCGTGAGTGGCTGCACCTGGCCTTAATCAGCGTCTTTTAAAGACCATAGAGTGGCCGGGTGTGGTGGCTCACACCTGTAATCCCAGCACTTTGGGAGGCTGAGGCAGGCAGATCATTAGGTCAGGAGATCGAGATCATCCTGGCCATGGTGAAACCCCATCTCTACTAAAACACAAAAAATTAGCCAGGCATGGTGGCATGTACCTGTAGTCCTAGCTACTCAGGAGGCTAAGGCAGGGGAATCGCTTGAACCTGGGAGATGGAGGTTGCAGTGAGCCAAGATTGTGCCACTGTACTCCAGCCTGGCTAAAGAGCAAGACTCCGTCTCAAAAAAAAAGACCATAGAGTGCTTACTGTTAGATTGCTTTTTTAATTCTCCCCTAATTCTCATAGGAGGGTAAAGAGCAGAGAATTAGTCTGAACTCTGTTTTGACTTTGAGCTTTCATAGTTGCTTTGGATGACACCCACAGGATGTATGTTATCCCTTTGGTGGGCCCAAATTGCTCTTGCTTCCTCAGATGACTTAGCCATGGACACGAAACACTACTAAATTTACTGATTGATCACTCTGCCCGAGCCAGGGCACTTGCCAGGCAGTGGGCACTGCTGTTTCTCTGAATACTTCCAGGGTGGACTTTGCATTTCAGTGAGAAGTGCCGTGCTCCTGCCTGGTGTGACCGGATCCTCTGGAAAGGGAAGAACATCACTCAGCTGAGCTACCAGAGCCACATGGCCCTGAAGACCAGTGACCATAAGCCTGTCCACTCACTGTTTGACATCGGGGTAGGTGGGCAGCTGGTGCCCGTTGTAATCATTCTGGAGGGAACTGGCTTTCACAACTAAGACCATTTCTTGTCTTTCTGGTTTCTTCCTCTCCTTCTGAGTGGGAGGAAGCCCCTTTTAGAACGATTTAAAACAATTATTAACAACTTGGTTAATAATTGTTTTAGTATGTCTCTGTATTTTTTCTCATAAACGGAAGTTCCCTTTTCTATTTTTGAACTATCTTTTTGCAGACCTTTCTCTATGCATTTATAAATGGGTGTGTCAGTATTCTGTATACAACGTCGAGGATATTTCTCCTTTTTTGTAAAAGAGATCATATTATACATATTGCTCTGAGGATATCTTTTTTTCCCGACTGAATATGTCTTAGGAGATCTTTTTGTGACAGTGAAGGTAGAGCTTCCTTCTCATTATTTGTAAAGGTTCCAAAGTATTCCATGTTGTGGATGTATGTATTGATAAAGTTATTTCCAAAGTTTTGCTATTACACACAGTGCTGTTGTGACCACCCTTCACATGTATCTTTGTGTATCAGTATATTTCTATAGAATGAAATTATTAGAGATGAAATTAGTGGTTCAAAGAAAAAATGTGTTTAAAATTTGTGAAATCTTGCTAAATTATCCTCACAACAGTTTTACCACTTTACACTTCTACCAACCATATATGAGTTTATTTTCCCATACCCTTGCCAATATTGGGTTTTATCAGTCTTTTACATTTTTGTCAACCCAATAAGCAAAGGAAAAAAAAAGATACTTTATTTTTTTTCTTTTAAGTCAAAGGATTTTGTACAAGTTCAAAAAAGATACTTTATTATGTTAGATTACGTTTCCCTGATTACCTGTGAGTCAGCATCTTTTTCTTCCTTTCCTTTCCTTTTTTTTTTTAATTTTTATTTTAAGACAGGGTCTTGTTCTGTCACCCAGGCTGGAGTGCAGTGGTGCTGTGGCACAATCACAAAGCACCGCAGCCTCCATCTGCTGGGCTTAAGCAGTCCTCCCACATTAGCCTCCTGAGTAGCTAGGCCTACAGGTATGTATCACCTTACCTGGCTTTTTTTCTTCTTTAGAGACAGTATCTTGCTATCTTGCCCAGACTGGTCTCAGGCGACTCCTGGGCTCAGGTAATCCTTCTGCCTTGGCCACCCCAAGTGCTGGGATTACAGGATGAGCCATCACACCTGGCCTTTTCATTTCTTTATTATCTATTTACAGTGGCTCTTTATTATCTTTTTTTTTTTTTTAAGACAGTGTCTCACTCTGTCGCCCAGGCTGGAGTACAGTGGCATGATCTTGGCTCACTGCAATCTCTGCCTCCCAGGTTCAAGCAATTCTCCTGCCTTAGCCTCCTGAGTAGCTGGCATTACAGGCTCATGCCACCATGCCCGGCTAATTTTTGTATTTTTAGTAGAGATGAGGTTTCACCATGTTGGTCAAGCTGGTCTGGAACTTCTGATCTCGTGATCCGCCCACCTCAGCCTCCCAAAGTGCTGGGATTACAGGCATGAGCCACCGTGCCCGGCCCAGCTTTTTATTATATATTATAGTGACTCACGCCTGTAATCCCAGCACTTTGGGAGGCTGAGGTGGTTGGATTGCTTGAGCTCAGGAGTTCAAGACCAGCCTGGGCAACATGGCAAAACCCCTTATTGCTACAAAAAAATTAAAAACTTAGCTGGGCGTGGTGGCTTGCATCTGTGGTCCCAGCTACTTTGGGGGCTGAGGTAGAAGTCACTTGAACTCAGGAGGTGGAGGTTGCAGTGAGCTGAGATCACTTCATTGCACTCCAGCTTGGGTGACAGCAAGACCTTGTCTCGAAAGAAAAAAAAAAAGCTTGAGAAACACTGCTTTAAATCAAAGCCCTAGAAGAGGTTCTCACTTCTGGCCTGTTGGTGGCAGCAAGCAATTTTCTGCCCTGGGCAGAAAATAACTGCCAACCGTGCTTTCACTTCCATGTCTTTTTTTCTGCTAATCAGGAAGCACAGTACCACAGGCTTTGCCTCTGGGAGATACTTCTAAGTCAGTTGTTAATGGAGTTAATTAGTTAATTAAATCTATTTAGATTGTTTTCTATTTGCTGTCAACCCTTATTTCCCAATGCTGTGAATGCTTTCTATACTGAGAAAGAGGAAATGAGCAGAAGCCAGGGCACTCAGTCTCTGATGTTTCCCTTCCAGGTGAGGGTAATAAATGATGAGCTTTACCGGAAGACTCTAGAGGAAATTGTTCGCTCCCTGGATAAGATGGAAAATGCCAACATTCCTTCTGTGTCCCTGTCCAAGCGAGAGGTAGGGAGGACATGTTAAGAATATTAGCATTCTAGAGAGACAGAACTAGAAAAAAAAAAAAAGAATGTTAGCACTGAGGCCGGGCATGGTGCCTCACACCTGTAATCCCAGCACTTTGGGAGGCCTAGGCAGGCGGATCATCTGAGGTCAGGGGTTCGAGACCAGCCTGACCAACATGGAGAAACCCCATCTCTACTAAAAATACAAAATTAGCTGGGGGTGGTGGTGCATGCCTGTAATCCAAGCTACTTGAGAGGCAGGAGAATCATGTGAACCTGGGAGGTAGAGGTTGCAGTAAGCCAAGATCGTGCCATTGCACTCCAGCTTGGGCAACAAGAATATTAGTATCAGACTCTTCTATTCTTAGAACTTAAATCTCCCTCTTCTGTTGGGGCTCAGAGTTCCAGGAGGTACCTATACCACTATTGGACTGTAGTCTTTCTTGATAGACTGCTTCTAGATAAAGTGAGGCTGATGGTGTTAGCTGAGAAGAGAGAGGTTATTGGCTTAGGTCATCATGTCCCGCTCTTCTAAACCAGAAGATGATTCAAAATGTGTTTTTATTTTAGAATAACTGTTGTGTATTCTTGCAGTAGATTTTTCTTCTTACTGATGCTTTGCTTTGGGGTTAAATTGAGTTTGGATACCCATGAGCTGATGGGAAGGAAGACAGTATAGAAAAGGAATGGGTAATATATGAAGTTCAATAAGGTTTGAAGGTTTTTCATGGAAGAGCCAAATGGAAGATCATTCAAACTTGACAGTTACGCAGAGTCAAATGGGGGTTTAAGGTGAAGGCATTTTTTGTTTGTTTGTTTTAGATAGAGTCTTACTCTGTCACTCAGGCTGGAATGCAATGGCGCAATCTCAGCTCATTGCAACCTCTTCCTCCTAGGTTCATGCAATTCTCATGCTTTCGCCTCCCAGTAGCTGGGATTACAGGCATGTGCCACCATGCCTGGCTAATTTTTGTATTTTTAGTAGAGATGGGGTTTCGCCATATTGGCCAGGCTGGTCTCAAACTCCTGAGCTCAAGTGATCTGCCCACTTTGGCCTCCCAAAGTGCTAGGATTATAGGCCTGAGCCACTGCACCAGCTGCTGATGGCATTTTTAATGCCCTAGGTGTCCAGCTACTTGGAAGGATGGGCTTAATCATCATGTTTAGTAGTGAAATTTGTTAAGGGTATTTTGTAAATGGTTTTTGGATATAGACGATATAAACTTTCATTTCTTCAGGAAATATAGAAACAAATGGAATTTTTAGATTTGGGGTTAAACACAGATGACTAGTCTTTAGTGGGAACTGTGGCCTCCCAAGTAAATACGTAACGCAGAAACATTTAAAAGAGATGGTCCTTCATTTTCTTTCCATGGTAAGGATTGTCCAGTTGGGGTGGCTAGGCAGGTTGCCAAGGAAAGGGCACTGCTTTTCACTGGCCCTGGGTTTCTTCCCAGTTCTGTTTTCAGAATGTCAAGTACATGCAATTGCAAGTAGAATCCTTTACAATTCATAATGGACAAGTACCCTGTCATTTTGAATTCATCAACAAGCCTGATGAAGAGTCTTACTGCAAGCAGTGGCTAAATGCCAACCCCAGCAGAGGCTTCCTCCTGCCAGGTAAGGCCTCTGTCCCAGCTTCCTGGTATCTGGTTTGGGGAATGCCTTACTCTATATTTGCTAATTTTCCTAAAATAAGCTTTTTGCTTGAGTGTTTTATTCTCTGCTTGAGGCTTTTTAAAAGCTCTATAGAGGAAACCATTCATAAATAAAATGTAAAATAGGAGCACGAGTTCAGTTTCAAAAGCATTCTGTCATTGATATGTTCCATAATTTCACAGAAAGAGAAAACCTAAGATTGCTGTAGAGCAGGTGCTGCCGTTACTTTTGTCCTCAATAAAGTTTCTCAAGTAATAAAAAAAAAAAAAGCAGGTGCTGCTGTTAAAGGAACCACTTTATGATCTTGCTATAATCAACTCCCAATTATCTGCTCTTGATAATGGGGAAGTAATCCAGAAATTATATCTGGCCCGGGGATGTATCATTCAGATTTTTCCCAGCTTTTCCTTCACACTCTGCATGATACTGTGTGACAGAACAATGAAGGGTGTTCTGTGGACAATTCGCAGGTTGATAATTGTGTTACATTTCTCCTGAATCAGGTCTCTTCATCTTACCTGGCTCAGGGAAGGCTCTTTGATCCATGCCTTCTTATTCTCTTAGTATTTCTAGCTTCAGCTGTGCTCCTTAGTGCTTCAGTTTTATAGCATTTGTCTATTCACATGTTTTTGTCTGTTTTCATATTCCCAGTTGGACTATAAACTCTTTGTTCTTGTTTCTCCTGCATGTCAAGCACATTTAGATACTTGTGGGTTGGCGGATACCTTTTCTTTCCTTTTCCTCACCCTTTATGCCTTACCCTCTTCCCTCCTATCTTCTTTTCTTCTTTCCTCTTAGCCTCCCCCTAGCCAACATTATTTTTAAAATTTCTCTGCAGATTCTGACATTGAGATTGAATTGGAGCTCTTCGTAAATAAGACCACAGCTACAAAGCTCAACTCTGGTGAAGACAAAATTGAGGACATTCTGGTTTTGCACTTGGACAGGGGAAAGGATTACTTTTTGCCTGTGTCTGGGAACTACCTGCCCAGCTGTTTCGGGTCTCCCATTCATACACTGTGTTACATGAGAGAGCCAATCTTAGACCTGCCACTTGAAACTATTAGTAAGCTGGTGAGTAATATGCTGCAAGGAAATACCTAGAACTTTGTAGCAGCCAAGCCAGTCAAACAGGATATTCCTATGCCTACCTTCCTAAGGACTTAGAAATTCTTCAGCCTTCTAGAGCTTGCTTAGTGTATCAGCTATATAAAGCTGTGCTACAAACTATCTGAAATTTTAGTAGTTTTTAACACCAAGTTATTGCTTCTCATGATTCTGTGAATTTCAAGTGTAGGTCTTCTGCTGGTCTCACCTAGCCCCATTTGTGTGGTTATAATCAGATGGCAGCTGTGATGGCCAGAGGGCTCCAGATGGCCTCTCTCTCATGTCTTGGAGTTGTCTTTTCTCTGGATTTCATTCACCACATGGGCTCATCATTCAGAAGGCTAGCTCAGGCTTCTGTAGCTAGTGGCAAGAACATGAGATAACTGTAAGGCTTTTTGTAGCATAGGCTCCAAAATGCATACAAGGCCACTTCTGCCATGTTTTATTGGTAGAGCAAGTTGTGAAGCCAAACTAGATTCTATGAGTGGAGCAATAAAGACTCTATTTCTTTTTCCTTTTTTTTTTTTTTTGTGAGACGGAGTATCTCTCTTTTGTCCAGGCTGGAGTCTAGTGATTCGATCTCCGCTCACTGCAACCTCCACCTCCTCCTGGGTTCAAGTGATTCTCCTGCCTCTGCCTCCCCAGTAGCTGGGACTACAAGCATGCACACCACCATGCCTGGCTAATTTTTGTATTTTTCATAGAGATGGAGTTTCACCATGTTGTCTAGGCTAGTCTGAAACTCCTGACCTCAAGTGATCTGCCTGCCTCGGCCTCCCAAAGTGCTGGGATTTTTTTTTTTTTTTGGGTCGGAGTCTCATTCTTTTACCCAGGCTGGAGTGCAGTGGTATGTCTTGGCTTACTGCAACCTCTGTCTCCCAGGTTCAAGCGATTCTCCTGCTTCGGCCTCCTGAGTAGGTGGGATTACAGATGCCCGCCACCATACCTAGCTAATTTTTGTATTTTCTGTAGAGATGGGGTTTTGCAGTGTTGGCCAGGCTGGCCTGGAACTCCTGACCTCAGGTGATCCCTCTACCCTGGCCTCCCCAAGTGTTGGGATTATAGGCATGAGCCACTGCGCCTGGCCTAACTCCACTTTTTGATAGGAAAGAAAAGCTGCAAAATGCTGTGGCCATGTTTTTCAGTATTTCACTTATAGTATGTTTCTTTGTCTGGGCTGTTATAACAGAATCCCATAGACTGGGTGATTTATCAACAATAGAAATTTATTTCTCATAGTTCTGAGGACTAGGAAGTCCAAGATCAAGGCACAGCCAGATTTGCTGTCTGGTGAGGGCTTACTTCCTGGTTCATAGAGGGCCATCTTCTCACTGTGTTCTTACATGGCAGAAGAGATGAGGGAGGTCTCTGAGGTATCTTGTTTAGGGGCACTAATCCCATTCATGAGGGCAGAGCCCTTATCACCTAACCATCTCCCAAAGGCCCCACCTCCTAGTACCATCACACTGGGGATTAGGTTTCAATGTATGTATTTGAAGGGGACATAAACATTCAGTCTGTAGCAGAACATTAGAGAAACTCAGCCATGGGTTGGACACAGTGACTCACAGCTGTAATTCCAGCACTTTGAGAGGCCAAGGCAGGAGAATTGTTTTAGGCCAGGACTTTGAGACCAGCCTGCGCAACATAGTGAGGCTCCGTCTCTACAAAAAATTAAGAAATCAGCTGGGTATGGGGGTGTGCACCTGTAGTCCTAGCTACTTGGGAGGCAGAGGTAGGAGGGAGCCGGGGAGTTCAAGACTGCACTACCAGGCCAGGCGTGGTGGCTCACACCTGTAATCCAAGCACTTTGGAGGCCAACATGGGTGGATCACCTGAAGTCAGGAGTTCAAGACCAGCCTGACCAACATGGTGAAACCCCGTCTTAAATGAAAAAAAAAAAAACAAGAAAGAAAGAAAAGACTGCAGTACCTGAGCAATAGTGTAAGACCTTGTCTCTAAAAAAAAGAGAAACTCAGCCATGGATTCTACAATAATGAAAGTTCCATAGTCAATGATATTATTCTTTTGTTTTTTTTAAAATCATCATTGGTAGGTTACCATCCTAACTAAATTTGCTGCGATCTAAAAGCTTCCTATGAAGACAATTCTAATGCAAGGGAACTAATTTGGAGCAGATCTATGGTAATATGCATGCTTTTTTTTTTTTTCAATGCATTTTTAAATGTAGGGAGTCTTGAACTCCCTCTTCTTTGTCATGTAGATGAAAACAGGGGCCCAATCAAGGAGAGTGATTTGTCACAGGTCATATGGTGAGTTAACAGTGGACCTGGAGGCTGGGTACAGTGGCTCCCATCTGTAATCCCAGCACTTTGGGAGTCTGAGGTGGGTATGTCACTTGAGTCCAGGAGTTCAAGACCAGCCTTGGCAACAGAGTGAGACCCCATCTCAAAGTAAAAAAAAAAATTTAATTAAAAATCAAAATAATGGACCTGGGCCTTGAACTCAGATTTTTGGATTCCCAGGGCTGTGCTGTTTCCTTACCAGATGACACCTTCTTTCTAGTTCTAATAGTGAAATGCTATAGGAATGATTTTTTTTCCTAAAAATATGGTGCATAGTTCACCTGATTCATTGAAACTGCTTGTCATAACCCTCTCTTGATTCTCAAAAATTATCTTTTGTTCCTTGATCGTACCACCTGATTTCATTTCTGTCTGAGGACTGTGTTGGTTAGGGGCATTGAAATATTTTCCGTTTTCCATGGGTTTGCCATCCCCATGTTGTGCGTTTTCCTGGAGCCAGCCTGGCAGAAGTTCTGTCATGATCTTGATTGCTTTCCAGACTCTGATGCCAATACAGACTGAAGGTAATGGGAGCCAGTTGGAGAGACCCTTGGAAATCCCCAAAGAGCTCTGGATGATGGTTGATTACCTGTACCGAAATGCTGTCCAGCAGGTTGGTTGTGTTTAGGCATTTAGACCTGATTGGGGCCAGGCTGCCTTGAGAAAGACCATCAGCCCCAATAACTTTTTGCATAGGAACCTGTGGAGGACTGTTCTTCCCCGACAAAGGGGAAGGAGGATAGGGAGTATGCCATGTTTCACAATGCTGGGAGACTGCTTTTTTTTTTTTTTTTTTTTGAGACAGAGTCAGGCTAGAGTGCAATGGCGTGATCTCCGCTCACTGCAACCTCCACCTCCTGGGTTCAAGTGGTTCTTCCGCCTCAGTCTCCCGAGTAGCTGGGATTACAGGCACCCACCTTCATGCCCAGCTAATTTTTGTATTTTTGTAGAGAAGGAGTTTCACCGTATTGGCCAGGCTGGTCTTGGAACTCCTGACCTCAGATGATCCACCTGCCTCGGCCTCCCAAAGTGCTGGGATGACAGGTGTGAGCCATGGTCCCCAGCCAGAGACCCTGCTATTACATGCAGTACATGATCACCCCCAAGGGAAGCAGTGTTGCGTAGGAAGGCCATCCCAGCACTGCACAGCATGTTCCTTCCCATGGCCTCTGGGGTCCCTCAGCCAGAAAACTGCCTGGAGGCCTCTCAGAATGTTACCGCTCTCCTTCAGGAACTCTCACCAGCTTCTGGGAATGAGTGGGGCTAACCTGTTGATAAACCAAGGAGAGGCAGGGGACCAGATGCAACCCCTGGGCCTCAAATTTGGAAGCCTGATTTCTAGAGTGACTAGGGCAGGCTTCACTAGTCAGATTGGTCAGTTTCACTGATCTGTTTATATAGGTTTCGGGGAGACCTATACAAACTATAAGATCACTTTACCACTTCAGAGCGACATACTTTTTTTTTTTTTTTAGTATACATTTTTTTTTGAGACAGGGTCTCACTCTGTTACCCAGGCTGGAGTGCAGTGGCACGATCTTGGCTCACTGCAACCTCTGCCTCCTGGGTTCAAGCAGTTCTCCTTCCTCAGCCTCCCAAGTAGCTGGGATTATAGGCACTCACCACCACGCCTGGCTAATTTTGCGTTTTGAGACAAGGTTTTACCATGCTGATCAGGCTGGTCTCGAACTCCTGTGACCTCAAGTGATCCACCTGCCTTGGACTCCCAGAGTGCTAGGATTACACGTGTGAGCCACACGCCTGGCCTTAGTACACATTCTTATGATATTCCATTTTCACTTTTTTCCCCCTCACATTTATTGAGAATTGCAGTATACCAAGCACTATTCTAAGTGTTTTACAGCATTGCCTCTAGTTTTCACAGTAGTTCTCAGATGAGGAAAAACAGATGTCTGGAAAGGTGAATAACTTGGCTAAGGTCCCAAAGCTGATAAATGGGCAGAGGTGGGATTTGAATACAGTGAATCTGAGTAGAGAAGTCATATTCTTCAGTGCTGTACATATTCTGCAGAGTTCCTTTCAAATGTAATTTTTGAGCAATATATATAACAGTGTTACTATTAATATACTTATATGGTTAAGTCATTTTATAAAACAATGAACATAAAGTGTCCTGAGACAAATGGAAATAGCTTTGCTGCTGTAAACTTATTTGCTCAAAGCATTGAAGTACCTTGTTAGCTTTCTCTTATGCTCTTATGCATGTTATATTTTCTTCATCCCCTCCCCCCCACCCCAGGTAATCCCTCTATACCACTGCAGGAAACATAGCTGCTTTTATGTTTTCTCCAGTGTTGGATCTTCTTGTGGTATGGGTGGTATGCCCTACCCATAGTTCTATAGCAGATGCCTGAAGACCTACTGTAGAAACATGCCTGGGAAGGCCCGCAAGATGAATTAGCCACATCAGCTTAAATCAGATAATCTGTCAGGGACTTACCACACTGCTTCTTTTTGCCTTCTGCTAGTGATATTACTAGGTCAGGAAATCATTGGTGATTTTCTGAGAAAACAATTGTTTTGTGACTGTCTTCCCTTTTGCAGGAAGATCTGTTTCAGCAACCGGGCCTGAGGTCAGAATTTGAACATATCAGGGACTACTTGGATACTGGAATGATTGATAACCTCTGTATCCTTCAGACATTCAGCTGTGTGTGTGTGTGTGTGTGTGTGTGTGTGTGAGAGAGAGAGAGAGAGAGAGAGAGAATATGAATGAGAGGGGTGAGAAAAAGGAAAGTATTTTCAGGCTCAGAATCTGATATTGTATCCTCAGTTACCATGTTTTATTTAAAGTTTGCATAGAGAAGACTTTACAACTTTTTTTTCTTTTGAGACAGGGTCCATCTCTGTCACCCAGGCTGGAGTACAGTAGTGTGATCTCAAATCACTGCAGCGATCCTCCCACCTCAGCCTCCTGAGTAACTGGGACCACAGTTGCATACCACCATACCTGTCTAATTTTTGAACTTTTCATAGAGGCAGGGTTTTGCCATGTTTCCCAGGCTAAGAATTTACAACTTTAAGTAACCAGTATAGCAGGAACTCAGGAGGCTTGGCTCACCTGACAGTGTGGCCCCTTCGAGAAGTTAGGCTGGCATTCTAGCTCTGAGCAGAGCCTGACTGGGCAGGCAGCACTTCTGGCATGTGCTTGCTCTTGGGCCTTTTCCTAACCATGGGCAGCAGCACCATCGATTCCTTAATGATAGGTCAAAAGCTGCCAGCAATCATTCTGTAGCTGAAGCCCTGCTGCTTTTCTTGGAGAGCCTTCCAGAGCCTGTCATCTGTTACAGCGCCTACCATAACTGCTTGGAGTGTTCTGGCAACTACACAGCAAGCAAGCAGGTGAGGGGACGCACTGAGCATCAGCATACACATGTGGTTAGCCGCAGACCCCATGGGGCCTAAGGGAACAGAGTGGACGCAGTCCCTCAAGTGCAGTATCTCAGAAACTGAATACCTTATCTTTCCTTCTCAAACTCAAACCTGTTCTTTCTCTCATGTCTTTGTTTCTTTTAATGGCATCACCCTTAATTCCAGTGAGTCAACCCGAGACCTGAGTCATTTCTGACTCCACCCGCTCCGTGCCTCCAACGGGCCCAGTCTCGTTGATCTATGACCTGTCTTCTCTCTTATATTCTCATTGTACTTAGCTTGGCTCAGTGCGCTGCTTTCACGATCTCCTCCTGCTGATTTGTTTTACACACTGCCATCAGATTGTGTATTCTAAATTAGGCTATTATCATGTGTCTGTTGGTCAAAAAACTATACTTGGCTCTCCATTCCCAATTACTAATTTTCTTAAATATTGAAGACTTTCTATGATCTAGCTTGGTGGTTCACACATACAACAGGCCTTGGCAGAATCTAAAAAACTTGTCAATAATACAGATTCTAAAGCCTCACCCTAAATCCACCGAATCATAATCAATTTTGTTTTTTGTTTGTTTGTTTGAGATGGAGTCTCGCTGTGTCACCCAGGCTGGAGTGCATTGGTGGGATCTCAGCTCACTGCAACCTCTGCCTCCTGGATTCAAGTGATTGTCCTGTCTCAGACTCCCAAGTAGCAGGGATTACAGGTGTGCACCACCATGCCTGGCTATTTTTTGTATTTTTAGTAGAGATGGGGTTTCACCATGTTTGCCAAGCTGGTCTCAAACTCCTGACCTCAGGTGATCCACCCGCCTTGGCCTCCCGAAGTGCTGGGATTACAGGCTTGAACCACTGAGCCTAGCCTATAATCACTTTTGGAATCTATTTTGTTCAAGCTTCCAAAATGATTTTGATATGCAGATAGCTGGAGTTCTCCTTGATCAGGGCCTGATCAACCCTTCTAGTTATGCTCCTGCCAAAATTGACTTCTCATAAAGTGTTCTCTCTACTTATCTGTTTTTCTCCTCTTGCCCTTTTTTACATGTTCTTTGCTCTAAATAACCCCAGTTCTTACCTCTGTAAATCCAGTTTTGTCTTATATTCAAGACCCAACTAAAATGTCTTATTTCCTTAAGTCTTATAAGAACATGCAGTTAAAAGGTTGACTTCTAAATTCATGTCACATTTGACCTGTACCTCTCTTTCGGTACTTATGCCAAGTGGTAAGCAACCAGTTTTCTGTGCACAGTCTTACTCGCGCACTTGGATGGTGTATTCAGTTCTTGGACTGTAGTAGGCACTTGACAAATGATTCAGTGAACAAAAGACAAATTGCAATTCTCCCTCTTTCAGGTCATTTCTACTCTCCCCACATTCCACAACAATGTCTTCAAATACTTGATGGCGTTTTTGCAAGAACTGCTGAAAAATTCAGCAAAAAATCATTTGGATGAGAATATTCTAGGTAAGCAGCCAAAAATCTATGGAAAGCATTTCTGCAAACTGAGAGACTTGTAATGAGAAATGTGGTTGAGTAGGGTCCCAAGTCCCTTGCAGTAGAACTAAAATATTAAGCTCTGGGCCAAGATTTTTTTTTTTTTTTTTTTTTTAGATGGCGTTTTGCTCTGGTTGCCCAGGCTAGAGTGCAATGGCGTGATATTGGCTCACCACAACCTCCACCACCCGGATTCAAGCAATTCTTCTGCCTCAGCCTCCCAAGTAACTGGGATAACAGGCATGTGCCACCACGCCCAGCTAATTTTGTATTCTTTAGTAGAGACAGAGTCTCTCCATGTTGGTCAGGCTGGTCTTGAATTCCCAACCTCAGGTGATCCACCCACCTTGGCCTCCCAGAGTGCTGGGATTAAAGCAGAAAATATTGCATTTGGACATTCCTCCCCACTCCTAACAACACAAGAATAAGTATAGTCATGGACTGGGCATGATGGCTCACATCTGTAATCTTAGCACTTTGGGAGGCCGAGGCGGGCAGATCACCTGAGGTCAGGAGTTTGAGACCAGCCTAGCTAACATGGTGAAACATACAAAAATGAGCTGGGTGTGGTGGGCACCTGTAATCCCAGCTACTAGGGAGGCTGAATCAGGAGAATCACTTGAACTCAAGTGATGCAATGGAGGCTGCAGTGAGCCGAGACTGCACCACTGCATTCCAGCCTGAGTGACATAGTGAGACTTTGTCTCACAAAAAAAGTATAATCCTGTACCGTATAACATCTTGGTCAACAACGGACCATATATACGATGGAGGGTCCATAAGATTATAATACTGTGGGGGGTGTGTGTGTTTGAGACAGTCTTGCTCTGTCACCCAGGCTGGAGTGCAGTGGTGTGAACTCAGCTCACTGCAGTCTCTGCCTCCTGGGTTCAAGTGATTCGTGTGCCTTAGCCTCCCAGGAAGCTGGGATTATAGGTGCTTGCCACCACGTCTGGCTATATTTTTCTTTTTTGGAGACAGAGTTTCGCCCTGTCGCCCAGGCTGGAGTGCAGTGGCATGATCTTGCCTCACTTCAACCTCTGCCTCTGGGGTTCAAGCGATTCTTCTGTCTCAGCTTCCCGAGTAGCTGGGATTACAGGCATGTGCCACTATGCCCAACTGATTTTTGTATTTTTAGTAGAGATGGGGTTTCACCATATTAACCAGGCTGGTCTTGAACTCCTGACCCTGTGATCCGCCCACTTTGGCCTCCCAGAGTGCTGGGATTACAGGTGTAAGCCACCATGCCCAGCCTTTTTTTCTTTTTTAAGGGCGGTGACCAATGCCCACCCTCCCCACTGCTGGGTGGGAGAGTGCTGGAAGCCAGATGGCCACTCAAGCCCATGCAGCCACCCCTGGGCCTTAGCTATCCTTAACATGCTTATGAACCACTGTCTGAGCCTGGGGACTAGCCCTCAGCGAGGATAAGAGGGAGGTGAGGCAGTGTGCGAGTGGGAGGGGAGGAGGCAGGAACCAGAGAGGCAGGACACCAAGCAGGGCTGCCTCCTCCACCACCCTGTAATCTCGGCCATCTCCGACAGAGCACCATTACCCTTGGAAAGCCCACTGGCGGGGAGAGGCTAATTTTGTATTTTTATTAGTTTCACCATGTTGGCCTATCTGGTCTCAAACTCCTGGCTTCTAGTGATCTGCTTGCTTCAGCTTCCCAAAGTGCTGAGATTACAGGTGCGAGCCACTGCACCTGGCCCATAATATTATATTTTTGATGTACCTTTCCTATGTTTAGATATATTTGGATGCACAAATACTTACCAGTGTGTTAGTTGCCTGTGGTATTCAGTATAGTAACTTGCTGTACAGGACCCTAGGAGCAATAGGCTATACCATCTAGAATTGTGTAAGTACAAGTGCAAGTAAAGTTTGTGTAAAGTGTAAGTACACTCAGGATGTTCAAAGAATGACAAAATCACCTAATGACATTTCTCAGAACATACCCCTGCTGTAAGTGATGTGTGTCTTTAGTACCTTCTTTTGCTGAATCATTTATTTTCTGTTTTTTTTCTTGCAGCTAGCATATTTGGCAGCTTATTGCTTCGAAACCCAGCTGGTCACCAAAAGCTTGATATGATGGAGAAGAAGAAGGCTCAAGAATTTATTCACCAGTTCCTTTGCAACCCACTCTGAGCCTCTCTCTTCCATTTTACTTAAGGCAGCCAATTACCAGCCCCACCTGTTTCAGCTCAAGAGCTGTCTTAAGATAATTATGTGAGGCTACTTGGTAGCAAGAATGGCAGCTGTTTCCTGAGCCTAGTGCCCCGACTAAGTCCACCATTGGTTAGCACACTCAGTGCTGTGAGTCATGAAGACGTAGGAGAAAATCCACCATAATAAAACTGACATTCAATTATCAACTTTAGTTATTTAACACAGATTGAGAGCTTTTTTTTTTTTTTTTTTTTTTGAGAAGGAGTTTCACTCGTTACCCAGGCTGGAGTTCAATGGTGCCATCTCGGCTCACTGCAACCTCCCCCACCTTAGTTCAAGCAATTCTCCTGCGTCAGCCACCTGAGTAGCTGGGATTACAGGCACCTGCCACCACGCCCGGCTAAGTTATTGTATTTTTAGTAGAGATGGGTTTTCACCATGTTGGCCAGGCTGGCTCAAACACATGGCCTCAGGTGATTCACCAGCCTCAGCCTCCCAAAGTGTTGGGATTACATGCTTGAGCCACCACTTCAGGCTTTTTTTTTTTTTTTTAATTTAAGATGTTTTAAAATAACTACTTGTACTCACCCACCCTACCTCTGGGGCGTAGTTGGTGCCTTCCCTGTAGCCTGGGGTGATATCCTCACGATCAGATATTTGAAGGAACTTTGGAGTCCTGAAAGGACTATGACTTGGACGGCAAGAATGCAGGCAGAAACTGCTGGATAAAATAGACTACAGCCACCCCAGATACTTTCAGTGCTGGGTCTGAGGATATGTGTATATGCACAGGCAAACTCTACCCCCATTCCTGCTCAGATAATGGCTCGATAACTCTGAGACTGGCTGCTCAACCTCTAAGGGCAATAAAGGTGTTTAAAAAATTAAAATAACCAGGCGCAGTGGCTCAAGCCTGTAATCTCAGCACTTGGGGAGATTGAGGTGGGAGGACTGCTAGAGACCAGGAGTTTGCGACCAGCCTGGGTAACACAAGGAGACCTCATCTCTACAAAATATTTTTGAAAATTAGCTGGGTGTGGTGATGCATGCCTGTGGTCCCAGTTACTTGGGAGGCTGATGTGGGTGGATCACTTGAACACAGGAGTTTGAGGGTGCAGTGAGCTATGACCACATCACTGTACTCCAGCCTGGGTGACAAAGGGAGACTCTGTCTCTAAAAATTAAATGTAAAATCACTGAAGAAATGAGTGTTCAATGAAACAAGTGGGATTTTCTGGGTCAGCAAGTCTTCCAAATTGTATATGATGCATCCCCTCTCATGTAATATATTTTAATGATAAATGTATTTTTAACAGTGGTGGTTGTGTATGTTTTTCTCTCTTAAGAGATGGCAGTTCGCTGCAGCTGGACTTCGTGGCTCAAGCCTTGGGGCCAAAGAGACATATTGCTGGCAGTCAGCAAAAAATGGTTATAGCACTGGCCTGAACCCCTTGACCCGTGGTCTAGTCATTGGAGTTGCCCCACTCTGAATATTCCAGAAGCAGCTTATGGGAAAAACAGGCAGTGGCTGCTAGGAGGATCTAACAGCTAGATCCTCCAGGCATTTGGAAAGGACGGGGGCGTAACAAAGGCACACGCAGAATTGTTTCCTGGGTACAAATACAACTACTTCTGGGGACTGTAAAATGGGTTTAAGACACGGACCAGGACAATGTGAACGGTTAAAGAAGGGAGTGGCCGGTAGGTGGCGCTAACTGGCCCGGACAAGAGTCCCATCGAAGCCGCGTCCTCTGCAGGGGAAGAAAGTTGGGACCGCTTGCCGGAGCGAGAGTGTGAGAAGGGCGTCTTAGGGAAGCGCGTGGTACAAGGAAGAGGCGGCGGCGTCCTCTCCAGCTGGGCTTGGAATACTCTTAGTTCTGCCTTTGGACTCTTATCTTCCTTTCTGGGGCCTCCCGCCTGTGTTAACTTTGATGGGTGCTGAAGGGGAGGCCGGAGCCCCGGAGAGAGAAACCCGGGAACGTCACCGCCGTTCAGGCTCCCCAGGAGAGTTGGAGCCAGAGTTCAGACGGCCAACTGTGGTCCTTCCCACTGCAGCTGTGGCTGCCTGGCCGAGGGCAACCAGCGCAAACTCGGCTGACGATATTTCGGACTCTTGCTTTGAGGTTCGTTTCCTTCTTGCGTCCCGTGCCGTGAGTGCGACACCCTGCGGGCAGCCAGTACCTACTCCAGGCGCTTCCTCGCGCCGACGAACTCACCCACTGGGCTCCTTCCCCACGGTGCCCCGCCCCGCCCCTCCCTCTCGCCAATTGGAAGCTTCAGCTCGGCCCCTGACAACCTGAGCCAACCAGAGGCGCCAGGGAGGGGCGGAGCGCTGTCCCCTCCTTCCTCCGGAAAGCGGAAGCGGAAGTGACGTTTGGAAGGTGGGGGCAATCATGGTGCCGCTGGGGAGGGGAGAAGCTGCTGCCGCCGCCGTTGCCGGGAGCCGCGGAGGTAAAAGGCGAAACTAGACTCGGCCTGGGCTTGGGACTTAGCGGGGGCGTGGGACTTAGGCTCCCTCCTGAAGCATTTCCCAATAGAGACCTCAGTCCGGTCACCATAGGGACCCCACCCCTTCTCTGTTTCCATGGGGACGGGTATCCAGCCCCCCTTCCCTGTTTCCATGGAGACCCGGACCCTGCCCCTCCTGTCTGCGCTTGGAGACCCCCAGCTGGTCTTCGGATTTTTCTGTGTGGCCCCGTACTGGGCACTGTCCCAGACAGGTTCATTTACCCAGCCTCCTCTCAAGGGGGCTCTGTTCGCACTCCTCTTGGCCACCCTCAAACCTCCCGGTCTTGTTTGTTCCGGACAGTTGGTCTCTGCGTTGCCGCTGAGGGTGCCGGGGCAGCCCACTGGGGCCCTCGGTGCTCTTCTCTCTCTTCTCAGATGCAGCGAAATGTACATCTATGGGGTTGCATAAGCCAGAGCTAGGGGTCGGGCCGGTACCTCCCGGATCGGATCCTTTGGCCTGTCTTTGGTAACTCTCTAGCCACCCCACTAAGTAAAGGCTCACTCTCTAACCCAGAGCAAAAGAGAAAGACTTTATGTGCAAAGCCAGACTGAAAACTAAAAGGGATATGCTGATTATTTTAAAATTCTCTGTTCTGCCTGCCAAACCCACATTTGTAGAGCTTGTGTTTGTAGATGAAGGAAGAATCACTATTCCAGAACATGAAAGCTTCAAATATGGTATTTTTCTCAAGAGAATATATCTTCCCAAGATATTATCTTCACGAGAGTGTATGTTGTCATGTCTTTCATTCATTTAGCTGACATTTCCTGCGCTTCCAGTATCAGTGTGTTATGCTAGGGGCTGTGGAAACAAAAATAATAAGTAAGACTCAATTCATTCAGGGATGAGAGCCCATTATACAGCCATAACTTCTGACACCATATTGTTTTAAGGCATAAATAGATAACAGTGATCTTCACTGTTTGTGCCTGATTGGGGATTAGCCCCTCCACCCAGAAGGTTGAAACATCTGTTCTAGGTGGCAGGGAAGGAATTCACACTTCTTCGTCTACTATTTATCAAACATTGTGCTTTGCATGTGTTACCTCTTTTATTCCTTGTAAAACGGAGAGAACAGGAATTAATAGTCCCATCTTGCATATAAGAAAAGTGACGTACAGAAAAGTTAACCATGTAGTAAAGGGCAAAGCCAGGATCTGTAGGTAGTTGGCTCTGCCTCCAAAGCCTTGTTCCTTCTACCATAAATTGCATGAAACCATTTACTGCCTCGTGGTCTAATTTGGAGGATATTTGAATGGAGTTTCCTTTAAGATTTGTAGCAATTCAGCCTTTAAGCAGCCACTGTTCTGTTTGCTCTTTTGTCCCCTTTAAGTATTTTGACCAAGTTTCAAATTGTTTGACAGGCATATTCAGAAGGTCTTATGAACTTACTCAATTTTTGAAAAGCATTGCTTTTCTTTCCTTCCTTCCTTAGTCTTTCTCTCTCTCTTTCTTTCTTTTTCTTTCTTTTTATAGAGATGGCGTCTCACTATGTTGTTTTGACCATGGTGATCTCAAACTACTGGCCTCAGGTGATCCTCCCACTTCAGCCTCCCAAAGTGCTGGGATTACAGGCATGAGCCACCATGCCCAGCCAGCATTGCTTTTCTTTAAAAATAACTTGATGGTTTCAAAGTTAAGATAATTAAAAAATTATTCCCAAGGATGGTTTTTCATTTGCTTTGGCTTGCTCTTTAAATGAGAGGGAAAATGAGCCCTTTGCTTGCTAAAAAAGTCCATAAGTCTTGTGGTATGACTCTAACTCTGGCTTTGTTCTATTGCAGACAAGTCATTATCTTTTCATTTCTCACAATTGAGCTGAGCACAACTGAACCATGGGGGAACACAGTCCAGACAACAACATCATCTACTTTAAGGCAGAGGAAGATGAGCTGACCCCCGATGATAAAATGCTCAGGTTTGTGGATAAAAATGGACTGATGCCTTCCTCATCTGGAACTGTTTATGATAGGACCACTGTTCTTATTGAGCAGGACCCTGGCACTTTGGAGGATGACGATGATGACGGACAGTGCGGAGAACACTTGCCTTTTCTAGTAGGGGGTGAAGAGGGTTTTCACCTGATAGATCATGAAGCAATGTCCCAGGGTTATGTGCAACATATTATCTCACCAGATCAGATTCATTTGACAATAAACCCTGGTTCCACACCCATGCCGAGAAATATCGAAGGTGCAACCCTCACTCTGCAGTCGGAATGTCCGGAAACGAAACGTAAAGAAGTGAGTAAAGCAGTCAGTGGGGGCCTAGTTGGTTTTGGGGCAAGTCCTTACAAAAGTTTGGGTGCAAATTTTAGCCGGGGAGTAAAGGAGTGTGTGGGGTTAGGACTTAAAATAGTTTTGCTTATCAACAACACATATGCTTTAGGTTTTGTTGTGATTGCTTCTGGGACTTTGGTTTGTATAGCCACATTGAAATTTGGGAATATGAAATTATAATTTCGCGAATATCCTTCCCTAGGTCATAAATAAATTTCACTTAATTAAGTCCATGTTTCTGACACTAAAATAACTAGATTTAGCTTATCTGACAGGGAAATAACTAGAGTTGGCTTATTTGATAAAGAAATAACTGTATTTGGGCTGGCTGGCTCATGCCTATAACCTCAGTACTTTGGGAGGCCAAGGCGGGCGGATCACGAGGTCAGGAGATCAAGACCATCCTGGCCAACATGATTAAACCCCATTTCTACTAAAGTACAAAAATTAGCTGGGCATGGTGGCATGGGCTTATAATCCTAGCTACTTGGGAGGTGTGGCAGGAGAATTGCTTGTACCCAGGAGGCAGAGGGTGCAGTGAGCCAAGATTGCGCCACTGCACTCCAGCCTTGTGACAGAGCAAGACTCCATCTCAAAAAAAAAAAAAAAAGAAAGAAAAAGAAATAGCTAGATTTGGCTTATCTCTGGGTTGTGTTTAAATGATTTGTTTTGAAGATGAGAATCTGCTGGAATATGTTTCTTTGTTTATTTATTTATTTAATTTTTGAGATGGAGTCTTGTTCTGTCGCCCAGTCTGGGCTGGAGTGCAATGGTGCAGTCCTGGCTCACAGCAACCTCTGTCTCCTAGGTTCAAGCGATTCTCCTGCCTCAGCCTTCTGAGTAAGCTTGGGTTATAGGCGCCTGTCACCATGCCTGGCCAATTTTTTTATTTTCAGTAGAGATGGGGTTTCACCAGGTTGGCCTGGCTGGTTTCAAACTCCTGACCACATGATCCACCCGCCTCAGCCTCCCAAAGTGCTGGGATTACAGGTGTGAGCCACCATGCCCGATCTGGGAATATGTTTTATTATCTTAGTGAATGTTTAATGAATTTTTCTTTTATGGTAATCATGCCTGTAATCCCAGCACTTTGGGAGGCTGGGGCGAGTGGATCACTTGAGGTGGAATTTGTAACCAGCCTGGCCAACATGATGAAACCCAGTCTCTGCTAAAAATACAGAAATTAGCCAGGTGGTGGTGATGCAGGCCTATCTACTTAGGAGGCTGAGGTAGTCGAATCACTTGGACCCAGGAGGCGGAGGTTGCAGTGAGCCGATATCGCACCACTACGCTCTAGCCTGGGCGACAGAGCAAGACTCTGTCTTAAAAAGAAAAAGGCTGGGCATGGTGGCTCACGCCTGTAATCCCAACACTTTGGGAGGCCAAGGTGGGTGGATCACCTGAGCTCAGGAGTTCGCAACCAACCTGGGCAATACAGTGAAACCCGTCTCTACTAAAAAATAGAAAAAAATTAGCTAGGCATGGTGGCGTGTGCCTGAGTCCCAGCTCCTTGGGAAGCTGAGGCAAGAGAATTGCTTGAACCCGGAGGCAGAGGTTGCAGTGAGCCGAGATCACACCATTGCACTCCAGCCTGGGCAACCGAGCGAGACTCTGTCTCAAAAAAGAAAAAAAAAGAAATTCAGGCCGGGCACAGTGGCTCACGCCTGTAATCCCAGCACTTTGGGAGGCCAAGGCAGGTGGATCACCTGAGGTCAGGAGTTCAAGACCACCCTGTCAAACATGACAAAACTCTGTCTCTACGAAAAATACACACACACACACACACACACACACACACACACACACGAATCTGGGCATGGTGGCCCAGCTACTCAGGAAGTTGAGGCAAGGATATTACTTGAATCCAGGAGGTGGAGGTTGCAGCGAGCCAAGATCGCACCACTGCACTCCAGCCTGGATGTCAGAGCAAGACTCAGTCTCTCTTTTTTTTACATTTTTCATTTTTTTGTTGTTTTTTCTTGCCTCTTCAGTGCAAAACAGAAAAGACTCAGTCTCAAAAAGAAAAAAAAAATTCAGGCAAGAGACAGTAAAAGAGAGCAGGTTATTTAAAATAAGTTTTCATGTTTGTGTTTAGCTAATGTGAGTAAGGTAATGCTGTCAGGATGTTTTGAAAACTGTAAAGCATTTTACAGTTTTCAAATCATTTACTAGTGGTTATTATACTACTGGTTATTACTAGCAGAATAAAAGTTCTGATTTAAAGGTAGTGATATACATTATCCAAGAACTATTACAGGTCAGTTAGAAAAAAGTAGGTCACTGGTAGTTACAGTACCAGGAACTAAATGTAAGATGTTACCAAACAGAAAATAGGGTGAATGATTTAGCAATATAGTTTTCTTTTTTGCTGTGGTTGAGGTCTTGAAATTGCATATGGCTTATGTATGTGGCTTATTGATGGCCTATCACTTTTCCTTTGCTAGCCTTAGAGAGACCATCTTGTCCTACCTCCTACACCATGCAGAAATCTCCGTATGGCATCTCTGACATCAGTTCATCTGGTTTCTGCTTGAAAACTTCCAGAACAACGAGAGCAGTGTTTCATACCTCAACCCAGTACATTTGTTAGCCAGTGCTGACTGTTAGAAAGCTTTTACTTGTATAGAACCAAAACCTGCCTTTCTGCAGGTGCTGCCCACTGATTCCAGACCTGACTTCCTGAGTAAGCTTCCTCCCATAGGATAGTCCATTAGCTATTTGAAGATCATGGATTTTTCTTCCTTTTACATAGGCTAAACACCTCCATGTACTTAAATGTCCCTCTGTGACATTTTCTCCAATTTCTCATCAACCTAGTCACCTTTGATTATATGAATTCCAGTTTTCCAAAGTCCTTTTTTTTTTTTTTTGATATGGAGTTTTGTTCTCGTTGCCTAGGCTGGAGTGCAAATGGTGTGATCTCTCACTGCAACCTCCGCCTCCCAGGTTCAAGCAGTTCTCCTGCCTTAGCCTTCCAAGTAGCTGGGATTACAGGCATGCACCACCATGTCTGGCTAATTTTGTATTTTTAGTAGAGACAGGGTTTCTTCATGTTGATCAGGCTGGTCTTGAACTCCTGATCTCACTCAGGTTGATCTGCCTGCCTCAGCCTCCCAAAGTGCTAGGATTACAGGTGTGAGCCACCTTGCCTGGCACCAGAGTCCTTTAAAAATCTATAGTTGAGCACAGTCTCATGAGTGTGAGTCAACTGGCATTGAATATAGTATGGCTCTTATCTCTTATTCAGGAACTGCACTACAGTTACTATGTAGTCTATATTTATTATCAGCAACATCTTACTGCTAGCCTGTAGTTGGAAATTTCTATAGTAGTGCTTCTTAACTGCAGGCAGTTTTGCCCCCAGGAGATGTTTGGCCATGTCTAGAAACATTTTTGGTTGTCACACTGTGGAGGTGGTACTGGAATCTAGTGGTTAGAGGTTAAAGAGACTGTTAAATGTTTTACAGTGCACAGGACAGCCCCCTACAACAGAATTATCTGGCCCAAAATAGCGATAGTGCTAGGATTGAGAAACCCTGCTCTAGATTATTCTCATGTATGCAGCCGTCAGATCTTATAAAAATGAAAACGGAGACCTGCATGTAAGCCTTATTAAAAATATCTCCCAGTGGCACGTGGTGGTTCATGCCTATAATCCCAACACTTTGGGAGGCCTAGGTGGGTGGATCACCTGAGATCAAGACCAGCCTGGCCAACATAATGAAACCCTGTCTCTACTGAAAATACAAAAAATTAGCCTGGTATGATGGCAGTCGCCTGTAATCCCAGCTACTCTGGAGGCTGAGGGAGGAGACTCTCTGAACCTGGGAGGCTAAGGTTGCAATGAGCCAAGATTGCGGGACTACACTCCAGCCTTGGCAACAAGAGCAAAACTCCATCTCAAAAAATAAAAATATCTCCCTGTGACATTTTATCTTGTTGGTTTCAGCTGATTTGAGTTTGTAGGGGATTTGTAAGTTTGTTCAGCTCGACAAACATGAAGCAAGATGTTGTTATGTTCTATGGACACTGCAGATGATTGTGGTAGTTGATTTATAACATAGAAGCAAAAATTGTTTACACTAATAATCATAGCCCACGCACAATGTGGTAAATGTGAAGGAGAGGTACGGTTATCACACTGTGAGCACAGAGAAGCTCACCCTTAATTTTGAGATCAGGGAATTCTTTGCGAAAAAGGTGGCATTTGAGCTGGTCTTTAAGAATATATACAATTGGCTGGGCGTCGTGGCTCACCCTGTAATCTCAGCACTTTGAGGGGCTGAGGCTGGCGTATCACCTGAGGTTGGGAGTTCGAGACCAGCCTGATCAACATGGAGAAACCCTGTATCTACTAAAAATACAAAAAAATTAGCTGGGCGTGGTGGTGCATGCCTGTAATTCCAGCTATTTGGGAGGCTGATACAGGAGAATCTCTTGAACCTGGGAGGCAGAGGTTGTGGTGAGATGAGATTGCGCCGTTGTACTCCATCCTGGGCAACAAGAGCGAAACTGTCTCAAAAAGAATATATTACAATTAAGGAAAAAAGGAGGAAAAGCTGTTTCTAAGAGAGAGGAACAGCATACTACAAGGAATGCAGGTGGGAATCAGGCCATTTTCAGGGAATAGCCAGTTTTCCTGTTACAACAGAGGTCAGCACACTTTTTTCTGCATAGGGCTAAGTAGTAAATATTCTGGGCTTTGCTGGCTATAAGGTCTCTGTTGGAACTACTACATTCTTCCATTGTAGCACAAAAGCAGCCATAGGCAATACATAAATGAATGAACGTGGCCAAGTTCTGATAAGACTTCACAAAAACAGGCCAGGCGCAGAGGCTCATGCTTGTAATCCCAGCACTTTGGGAGGCCAAGGTGGGCAGATCACCTGAGGTCAGCAGTTTGAGACCAACCTGGCCAACATGGTGAAACCCCATCTCTATTCATAAAAAAAAAAAAAAAAGAC